GGGGAGGAAGCTGAGAGCCTATGGTCACGGTCTTCACTGATGAAGGCAGAGAGCAGGAGGTTGGCAGATGGTGGACACTGACTAGACTGGAAGAGCCAAGAACTTCAGTGTAGCAAAGTTTTACCCAAGACACAGAGGTTGTGGTCTAGAGCAGCCCAGGGATGAAGGAGCACCCATTGGAGAGGACTGTGGGAAAATAGAGTCCTGGGAGATGAACCAAGCATCAGCTGAGGCCGGAACAGTTAAAATGTATACATCAAATCCTCTCCAAGGACACTGTACCCTTGGCTGAAAACTCCCTGCTTAGTTTATTTCCCATCCTAAATTCTGCCCATCCACATTGTGGCATCCTAGGTCTCTCTAGCAGCTGAACAGGCAGGCCTCCGTAACAACTGTTCCAGCACTGACTGAGTGATTAAGTTAAATATTGAAAGTTGAAGGAGCCAGTGACCTTATACAAAGGCTGGAATAGAACAAAAGCTTCTATTCCAAGTTTTTGCTTAAGCCTTTCTTGTGCCTTGAACCATGACAAGAGGAGGAAGGAATTCTCAACAGGACCCATTTAGGATTAAATACGTTGTTATTGGCTGGGCATAGTGGCTCACACCTGTAATCTCAGCACTTTGGGAGGCTGAGGCGGGTGGATCACCTGAGGTCAGGAGTTTGAGACCAGCCTTTCCAACATGGTGAAACGCCGTCTCTACTAAAAATACAAAAATGAGCCAGGCGTGGTGGCGGGATCCTGTAGTCCCAACTACTCAGGAGGCTGGGGCAGGAGAATGGCTTGAACCCGGGAGGCGGAGCTTGCAGTGAGCTGGGATCACACCATTGCACTTCAGCCTGGGCAACAGAGCGAGACTCCATCTCAAAAAAAAAAAGTTTTTACTGGGGGTCTGAAGACACAAATTTTATTGGAGGTCTAAATGAACTCCTCACACCTCTGTGATTTAGCAGGAGATATGATATCACCCCAGCACTTGGACCCATCTAGATTCAATACATTTACTGAGGCTCCAGAAGAAGGTCTTCACACCTTAGTTATAGATTAGAAGAAGTTAATCACTTATGTCTTTAGATGAATGCACACTTACATGCAGACGTATAGCTTAGAAGGTATATAAACCCTGGAAAACTGTAATTTTGAGTTGGTCTGGTGATATTTTTCAGGTCTTCTTCCTGTACCTGGTTATAAAAATACACTTTCTTCCTTCCCAGTTCATCTGCCTCTTGTTGTTGGCCTGCAAGAATCAGCAGCCTGACCCTCGGCTTCCTCCGGGAACCACATGGTCTGATGGAGCTCATCCCATGTTCCACCAGGAGATTAAATGACAAACTAAGATTCCCCAGTAATAAAATGCCAACAATAAGATGTCCTACAGTGTAATAGAAACAATGTACCATTATGAAATTCCCAGTAGGAAATGAAAGTTGAAAGACTAAATTCACTTGCCATTTCAAGATAAAAAGAAAATTTCAGGTCCAAACTTTTTTCCTGCCTCAATTTCATATACTGATCAGGCTCAGCCAGAGGATGTCTCAGTATTTAGACAGAGTGGAGGTTCCTTCGGCACCATCCTGGAGAGGTGTAACATTCTCAGAATGGAGAAGGTGAACTCTGCCCTCATACGCTATCTACTTAGAGAGTCCGGAATTAATAGGGCACCGAAGATGATCACAGTTCTGTCTCCACATCCACCAAATTTAGAAACCAAAGCTGATAACTAAGCCATTTATCAGAGACTCAGTGGACCCAAGTGAGGAAGGGTCACTGGAGACGATCTTGTTTGTGTGTGTGTGTGTGTGTGTGTGTGTGTGTGTGTGTGTGTGTGTGTTTTGAGACGGAGTCTCTCTGTGTCGCCCAGGCTGGAGTGCAGTGGCGCAATCTCGGCTCACTGCAAGCTCCGCCTCCCGTGTTCACGCCGTTCTCCTGCCTCAGCCTCCTGAGTAGCTGGGACTACAGGCGCCGGCCACCGCGCCCGGCTAATTTTTTGTATTTTTAGTAGAGACAGGGTTTCACTGTGTTAGCCAGGATGGTCTCCGTCTCCTGACCTTGTGATACGCCTAAAGTGCCTGAGCTACCGCGCCCGGCCATTCCCCTCCCTTTTCTGATAGACTCACTGAACTATTGACGAGCAAAAAGTAAACTTCCCTTGTGTGTGAGCTATTAATACATTTTAAGTCTATTTGTTAGCGCAATGCACTTGCCCTAACTACTATACTATCCCTGGGCCTCCTATGATGAGATTGGTAAGAGCCACAAACCTGTATCTGGGACACAGGAGAAGGTGGGAGAGGGGAAAATAATCTGATTGACAAAGGTTCTGTTTATAGGTGACTTTTTAGGATTGTGGAGTTAGGCAAAGCTGGGATCACTCACACAGCCTGATAGGGGATTTTCCTAGGTGAGTGGACTGACCTGGTGGTCCTGGTTACACTGCCCACCTGCTTTCTGGTGTCTCTACTAGGAGTAAGGTGCAACCCTCCTCCTGTGCCTTCTCTTTCTCCTCCAGGACTCCACACCTCCAGACCCTGCTGTGGGAAGGAAGGCCACCCATTTCTAGTCCCAGCTCCTCCTCTAACTATCTGTGTGATCTTAAACAAGGCCTTTCCCCTCTCTGGCCTCAGTATCCGCCTCTGAACAGTGGGACTGGGACTGCTGACCTTCTGGCCCTTTTCTGCTCTGTGAGTTTGTGAACTTGTGACTTAGGGAGGCAAGAGTCCTCGGAAACGGAAGGAGAGCATGTTTCACTCTGTCCAGCAGAGGGCAGAAGCTACCCACAAATCAACAGCACAGCAAAGCCAGGGCTGTGCGGGAGCTAGGCACAAGTTCTGCCTCCAGAAGCCTTCAGTGACAGCCTCTGAGCCAGAGGGTTCCAAGCAGAAGAGGTCCCGCTCCTGGAGGGGGACCTCAGAGAGGTCCTCCAGGCCCCTCTCAGCTCTTATTTACGGCATCCCAGATGCTGTATTCCTCTTCAGCAAAGAGAAGGTGGGTCAGCCACTAAATGGTGCTCGGACCTTGCAGTTTGGTGGGAAGGAGGAAGCTTATTCAAGCCAGGAAGATGAGCCAGGCAAAAACCGACGCCTAAGCCAAAAGCCTCTCCAAAGCGAGGTGTTACTCCAGGCTGACAAGTCTCCAGCAGGGGGAACTTCAGACTCCCTGTTAGGAACTGAATTGTGTCCCCCAAAAAGAGAAAGTCACCCCAGAGTAGGACCTAATTCAGGAAAGGTCATTGCAGATGCATTTAATTAAATGAAGATGAGCTCTTGCTGGAGTAAGGTGGCCTTTGAACCCAGTAGGACAAGCTACTTGTAAGAAGAGGGAAATCTGGAGACACACAGAGCAGAGACTGCCCTGTGAAGACGGAGGCAGAGATTGGAGAGATGCTGCCACACGCCACAAACGCCTGGGGCTCCCAGCAACTACACGGAGGCTCCCCCAGCGGCTTCAGCAGCAGCATGGCTCGGCCAACACTTTGATCTTGGCCTTCCAGCCTCCAGACCGTGAGTCAGTGAGTTTCTGTGGTTTAGGCCCCCCCAGTTGTGGTTCTTTCTTACGGCAGCCCCAAGAAACCAATATACTGCCCCATCCACTTTCCATGGCAGAGGTTGGGCATCACTGAATCCCACCTCTGCAGCAGGTTTTGCTTGGACTGCACAGTGTTTATTGATGCTGCTGTTGGTTTTAATTTCGAATGTGTGTGCCTGTAGCTGAGCCACTCCTCCTGATGACTCACCTGGGTCCTGCAGCATCTGAGATGTGGTTCCTGCTCCACACTTCCTGGGGGAGCAGAGGAACTCCTCAGCCTCTTCTCAAACTTCTCTCAGGTTGTGCTGCTCACTTCCTCCCCAGGCTTCCGGTCCACATGGGCAGCTCTGACCCAGAGAAGATTCTTTGTCTTAGACAGACATCTGCCTCCCTGTAACTTCGGTTCACCAGTACTTGCTCTGCACTCCGGGGCCATACACAACCCCTCTGCTCCGTCTGCCCTTAGGCATTGGCTCCTAGGAGACACTTGTTTGTCCGGCCATCGCTTTAAACTGTCTAGTTCCAGCTCCCTCAGAACTTCCTCAGTGACGCAGTTTCCTGATGGTCATATTGCCTGGATAAGCTCCAGTCTGTTCAACTCCCTCTGTGGTTCAGGAACCAGGACTAACAGGAGTCACCGGATGCACATTCTAACCAGCATCAAGAGGGCTGAAGCATCGCCTCCTGCCTTCCAAACTCAATATCTCAATTTTAATCCTCACTTGTCAAGGGAGGGGCTTGGTGGGAGGTGATTGGATCATGGGGGCGGTTTGCCCCATGCTGTTCTCATGATAGTGAGTGAGTTCTCACGAGATCTGATGGTTTTATAAGGGACTTTTCCCGCTTCGTGCGCCCTCTCTCTTTCCTGCTTCCTTGTGAAGAAGGTTCTTGCTTCTCCTTCTGCTTCTGCCAAAGTATGACCTTATGATTGTAAGTTTCCCGAGGCCTCCTCAGTCATGTGGAACTGTGAGTCAATGAAACCTCTTTCTTTTATAAATGACCCAGTCTCAGGTATTTCTTTATAGCAGTGTGAAAATGGACTAACACGGATATTTGGCAGGCATCCAGTAGTCTTCGATAAACACAACCACCATCTAGTAGCCAGAACAGCTTTATCAGGCCCCACTGTCTCTGCAATGAAGAGCAGTTCCTTTCCTCATCCCTTATAGGCCAAACACCCAGCATCCTGGGACAGTGGCCCCATGTGCCCAGCTTTGAGGATGAGCTCATGCCTGGCTGCTCTGGGTGGAGAGAGGGAAGAGCTGAATCAACATCCACATATATAAATCTCCTTTTGTGCATTTAGAATCATGTCCTTAAATTCCAATCAGTGGCATTACTGAAGCAAATTGTATCAAAAATGCAAAAAAGACCCATTTTTCCAAATTGTTTTCTAATAAGGAAGTAATATCGTTTGCCTTTTGATATTGTTCTTTAGAAAATGATGCATAAGAGTTTTACATTTCATATAGTATGTTCTATTTATTTTATCTTTTGTAATTTCTGTAATTTTTAAGCACTGTTCTTCCCATACTAGAGGCTCTGCTCTATTTAGTTCTGTTTGTCCTAGTTTTCCTAAAATTCCCTTTTCCGCTGGTGTGTGGTGCAAGATGAGGCACATTTTCCATGGATGGTGCCTTTTGATCACAACCAGGTCACCCCACTTCTAAGCCACTGCGTCTCCAGCCCCACAAGACTGAGGAGAGAGAGCACAGAGTGGTGGAGAGTGAGCCATGCTGGGACCGTTGTTTCCGTAACCTCGTTTTCTGTGTCCAGCTGACACACCTTCAAAGCGGCGTCAGGTCCTAAACTGTAGCTTGCTACGTGCCTGTTTGCCAGCAACCAAGGTGAAAGTGCTTTTAGACAGTGTTTCCGTGCAAGAGTCTCTTCCCAGCTTTTCTCTGGAAATGCATGTTTCTCCAACTCTGAGTCCTAAGAAAAATCATTTGAGACATCAAGAAAATGGGGGAAGTGCTAAAATTGTGTGGGAATTCAAGCTTAACAATAAACATCAAGACATTTTTGGTAAAAATGAATCCACTGACATCAGGGAGGAGCAAGAGAACAGCACGCTGATAGTGGGTCACAGGCTAAGGCCGACATTTCTGGGAACCACTCCCGGAAGAGCACAGATGAGACGCTTTCAGCCTCTCATCAGCCAGCCTGGCCTGTAGCTGCTGAGTGTTATGAGTGTGTTCCTGGCATGACTGCTTCTAACAGTGAGTTTTCTGGCAAATCAAATAAATACTAATAAGTCTGTATACACATTATACTTTATACAAATTCTAGGAGTGATGTTCCAGAAATAACAAGTTTTGAAGGCAAAATAAGTCCTTAAATTGGCAACTTTGACACATAATTCCATGTAGTAATCTTGCCAGAAGATCCCAGTGTTGTTATTCTAATACAATCTGATAATGTTCAGTGGCATTTTCCACTGTTGGCATCTTTGCTATAGCCTACAGTTGTTTGTTTGAGACGGAGTCTTGCTGTGTTGCCTGGGCTGGAGTGCAGTGGCGTGATCTTGGTTCACTGCAACCTCCCCTTCCCAGGTTCAAGCAGGTTCTCCTAGAAGCTGGAATTATAGGCGTGTGCTACCACGCCCAGCTAATTTTTGTATTTTTGGTAGAGACATGGTTTCATCATGTTGGCCAGGCTGGTCTTGAACTCCTGACCTCAGGTGATACACCTGCCTTGGTCTCCCACAGTGCTGGGATTACAGGTGTGAGCCACGATTCCCAGCCACCTACAGTCCTTTGTAAAGCAGACAGAATAGTTTCATCTTTTAAAGAAATGAACATATATGAGGCAACCTGTACCTAATTTAGGATTTCAGAAATTCCCCGGACTGCTTATACATTTTAATTTCTCATTCCTAATTCCCAAAGATTAAAATCTGTCAGGAATTTGGAAACACTGAATCACAGGCCAAAATAGGACCATGTCTCCATTCATTCATTTGTTCAACAATTATTTATTGAGCACTTGCTATTTTTCAGGCATTGTGCCACATTTTGAGAATAGAGTAGTGAGTAAGACAAAGTCATCACCTTTAGGGAGTTTATATTTTAGAGGAAAGAAAGACAAATGAAAGTGTTTAGGCTGGGCATGGTGGCTCACACCTGTAACCCCAGCACTTTGGGAGATCAAGGCAGGTGGATTGCCTGAGCTCAGGAGTTCAAGACTAGCCTAGACAACAACCCCAATCTCTACCAAAAATATAAAAAATTAACTGGGTGTGGTGGCACATGCCCGTGGTCTCAGTTACTTGGGAGGCTGAGATGGGAGGATCTCTTGAGCCTGGGAGGCAGAGGTTGCAGTGAGCCAAGGTCGTGCCACTGGACTTCAACCTGAGTGACAGACCCGATTTCGAAAACAACCCTGGGCTGGGCGCAGTGGCTCATGCCTGTAATCCCAGCACTTTGGGAGGCCGAGGCGCAGATCACGAGGTCAGGAGATCAAGACCATCCTGGCTAACATGGTGAAACTCCGTCTCTACTAAAAATACAAAAAAATTAGCCTGGCATGGTGGCGGGCACCTATAGTCCCAGCTACTCGGGAGGCTGAGGCTGGAGAATTGCTTGAACCTGGGAGGCAGAAGTTGCAGAGAGCCGAGATCGCACCACTGCACTCCAGCCTGGGCAACAGAGTGAGACTCCATCTCAAAAAAAAACCAAAACAAAACACCAAAACTGTTTAATACAGAGTACTGTCAAGTGGTGATGAGCACTATGGAAACGTGAAGCAATGTTTGAGTGCAGCGAGTGAAGCGGTGCTGTTTTGTGTGATTGTTATGAGGACCCCTCAGAAGAGCAGAGAGCTGAATGCAGTGAGAACAGAACCTTACTGAGGCCTGGGCAAGGCTCTTCCAGACAGCGAAATGCCCTAAGGTAGGACTGTGTTTGGCATGCCCTGGAAACGGGAGAGAAGCCAGGGCCTCTGGAATGTGGTGAAGGAGAGGGAAAAGTAGGAAATGAGGCTGGAGAGAGAGGCAGGGGCCAGAATACACAGGGCTGTGTAAGTCACACTGAGTCCTTTAGATTTTCCTGTAAGTGTGGATGGGAAGCAGTTGGAGCGTTTTGAGCAGGGGTGGTGTGATCTGACCTGCATTTTAGAATCATCCTGCTGGCGGAGGTGTGGAGGAAAAAAGCAGGGGCAGACGTAGAGGCGAGGGCAGCCAGTTAGGAGGCTACAGGAGTAGCCCAGACCAGACAGGAGGGTGGCTCGGCCCTTAGAGATCTTGGTGGAGCAGATTAAAGAGTGATCAAGTTAGAGCTAACAGACTTGTTTGGTTTTTTTTCCCCAGACCGGGTCTCGCTTGTTGCCCAGGCTATAGTGCAGTGGTGCAGTCACGGCTCACTGCAGCCTTGATCTCTTGGATCAAGGTATCCTCCCACCTCTCAGCCTCCCAAGCAGCTGGGACTACAGGTGCACGCCACCATGCCCAGCTAAGTTTTGTATTTATAGAGACATGGGTCTCACCGTGTTACCCAGGCTGGTCTTGAACTCCTGGGCTCAAAACATCTGCCTGTCCTGGCCTTCCAAAGCATTGGAATTACAGGCATGAGCCACTGTGCCAGGCCAGAGCCAACAGGACTTACTAAGAAACTATGAGAGAGAGAGGGGTCAAGGATGACTCCCCCTGTTCAACCAAGCAACGAGGTGAATGGTGCTGCTGCTTCATGAGATGGGGAAGACTGTAGAGGAAACAAAGCAGGAATGACAAATCAGGAATTTAGCTTTGAATACATTAGGTTTGAGAGGTCTAATCTATACCCAAACAGACCACACCGTGGCATCTGTGTAGCAGGATCTGCAGAATCCAGCAGGATGGATGCCAGTGCCAAGCTGAGTAGACAGTTGGGTCTGTGAGTCTAAAGCTCAGGGAAGACCTCAGGGTCTGGGATACAAATCTGGAGATCATCAGCCTGTCCATGAAAGCCAGGGGAATGATGGAACATACTATGAGAAAAAGAGAAGAGAGGAAAGTGAAGAGGTCCATGGAAGGAGACCTGGGAGAATCCAACCTTCGATTAGATCAGGAAGAGGAGAATCCAGCAAAAAATGCTGAGAAGTCTCTGGAAAGGAAGTCTTCCTTCCTTGCCCTGCACCGGGAGAGGTGCTATCCCAGAAATCAGTAAAGAAAAGTGTTTGATGGGGAGAGCAGGATCACCTTTGTCAACTACTGCTGCGAGACTTGGGAAAATGAGGATTGGAAAGAGAGCAATAGAAACTTGAAAAGCCATTGGTTATCTTGACAAGAGTTTCTGTGGGGGTGGTGAGAATTGGAGCCTGATTGGATGGGTTCAAGAGAGAATGGGGAGTTCTAGCCAAGAAGGCTGAGAGGATGAGTCAAATTAAAAACGTTTTCTTTGTATGAGTCCTCTCATATTTACTGATATATTGGGTCTCCATTCTGCCACATTACTTTATATTAATCATGTATTATATCTGCTGTGTTTCTTTCTCTGTGCAATGTATTTTTTTACTTTAAAAATTGTATTTATAAAGGTTTGTAATTTTATTACAGTGGTTATTTTATATGTACACCTTTTTTAATGCTCTTTTTTATTATTATTATTATTTTTTAAGACAGGGTCTTGCTCTTTGCCCAGGCTGGAGTATAATGGCACAATCCCAGCTCACCAAAGCCTTGGCCTCCTGGGCTCAAGAAATCCTCCCTCCTCAGCCTCCTGAGTAACTGGGACTACAGGCATGTGTCACCATACCCAGCTATTTGTTTGTATTTTTTGTAGAAACAGGGTCTCCCTGTGTTGCCCAGGCTGGTCTCAATCAGGCGATCCAGGGCACAAGCAATCCTCTCACCTCAGCCTTCCTTGGCTCTTACTCTTATTTTCTTGTTTAAGCTTTTACTATCTGGTTTATAAATACTGTAGTATTCTTCATCTCCCATACATTGCCCACACAACAATCTAGGAACATATTCTGTTTTTTAGTTTCTCTTTCCCTTGTTGTCCCATTTTGAGTTGCACTATTTCCTTATCATCTCTTATCAGCTGAAGCTCGTTCTCTAGTATACAGATCAGAAAACTTTTTATTTTTTGCAAGGGGCCAGATAGTAAATATGTTGTTTTGCAAGCATGCAATCTCTGCCACAGCTCTACCATTGTAGAGTATAAGCAGCCATGGACAAAATGTAAACAAATGGGTATGGCTGTCTTCCAATAAAACTTTATTTGCAAAAACAGGTGGTGGGCCAGATTTGGCCTATAGGCTAAAGCCCTATCTTAGAGTAGCAACAGTAAGGAGACAGAAAAACTGTGCAGGAGGCAAGAGAAAACTGGCAGGAGAGCTAGGGGCATATTGACAAAAGAGGAGACCTTTAAATCTTTCAGGGGTAGAAAAAATGAAATTCTTTGATGTTACTCAATAGTTTACCTGCTCGGAAGAAGGAAAGGTGTCTCTTCCAGCTCAGGGTTGGCTCGGCATCCATCCTGCTGGATTCTGCAGATCCTGCTGGCCAGATGCCACAGTGTGGTCAGCTGAAAGTGATTTGCTCATCCTGAAAACAGCAGGTACAGAAAGCGCTCTTTCAGCGCCATGGCAACCAGATCCTGTTTTTCTAAAAAAGGATCAGATGGGCGAGTGCCTCCCTCCAGGCATTGATCCATTAATGTGCACTGAGCTCATTTCAGAGCCAGGCCTTGGGCTGAGTGCTTAGAATACAAAGATGCATAAGGCAAAGTCCCTGTTTTTAAGGAGCTCTCAGACTGGAGGAGGAGGCAGACATGCACAGTAAACAGTGTAATCACACGCCATCAAAGGAAGGGACACACAAAGGGCTGGGGAGTGTCTCCTCCTCTTTGGGAGTGAGAAACTAACCTGGAGATCTAAGGTTGAGCTGAATTTTGGAGAATCCGTCAGAATTGGTCAAGAGGACAAACGGGGATGGGTCAAGGAAAATGGAGAAGCTTGAGAGCTGTGGCAGCTCCACAGAATGGCAAGTATGGCCGAGGATGGCGTCTCTGGGGTGCTGGAGATGGCCGTGGAGAGGCACCGAGGCCAGGCCATGCTGCCTCTGCTGCCTCTGCTGTCACCAAGGTCAACGACAACCTGGTGCCCAAGCCAGTGGCATTTTGCAGCCTACTTTTACTCATTCCTTCTTTTGGAAAATGCTCCCTTGACAGCCTGATTTTCATGGTATCATGACCTGCTATCTCCTGATGTGTCCTCTGCACATCCAGCTGCTCTTTCTCACTCTCTTATTTGCACTCTCACTTCCTTAAATTTTAACCTTCTTCTCATGCTGCACTTTCTCCAGGTTTATGAGAAACGTCTCCATTTTTCACTTTCATCTCTATTGCTGTTTGTCTGTTGGCCTCGATTTCTCCTACCACAAGATGAGACTCTATACGTATCTGGGAATGTGGCCTCAAGAACACCAGTGTGGCAACCCCAGTGAAAAGCTTTTTCCCAGTACTCATCTTTCCATCCTGGGGAAGGCATGGGATTGCTGCTGGTTGGTTTTGTGCCTATCCTGGGACCCATCACTATTATCAGAGTGATGGGCCAATCCTATATATGGTGAGGGAAATGAGGTTCCATGATTGGCCCCGTCAGTCACAGGGATGGAAAGGCAGTTTCCTAAGACAGATGTATCAGGCAGGAGACAGGAGCTATACAATGTCAACAGGGAAAGTGTAATATAAATAATCATGAACCAATAATAGGGGGTTAGCCACTACGGGATAAAAAGAAGTCCAAAGGTTACCAAAACAGGTGAATGGATAAACAAAATTAAATGTGATTCTGCCATAAAATGGAATGAAATTCTGATAAATGCTCCACATGGATAAACCTTGAAGACATTATGTGCGAAATGAAATAAGCCAGACTCAAAAGGGTAAATATTATATGGTGCCATTTATACAATGTACCACGAATAGTCGATTCATAGAGACAGAAAGTAGAATGGAGGTTTTCAGGAGCTGGAGGAAGGGGAGAATGGGAAGTTATTGTTTAATGGGTGATAAGGTTTGGCTCTGGGTTCCCCACCCAAATCTCATCTCGAATTGTAATCCCATGTCAAGGGAGGGACCTGATGGGAGATGATTGGATCATAGAGGTGATTCTCATGATAGTGAGTGAGTTCTCATGAGATTTGATGGTTTAAAAGTGTATGGCTCTCTTCTCTCTTTTTCTCCCTCTCCTGCCACTTTGTGAAGAGAAGATCTGCCTTGCTTCCCCTTTGCCTTCCACCATGAACGTGTTTCCCGAGGCCTCCTCCGGCACGCAGAACTATTAATCAATCAAACCTCTTTTCTTCATCAGTTACCCAGTCTCAGGTAGTATCTTTGTAGCAGTGTGAGAACGGACTGTTACAATGGGTATAGAGTTTCACCTTGGAATGATAGAAAAGTTTTGGAAATAAATAGTGGCAATGGCTGCAAAACATTGTGACTGTATCTAACGTCCATGAATTGTACACTTAAAAATGGTTAAAATGATAAATGTTATGTATGTTTTACCACAGTAAAAAAAATACAAGCCAGCCTGGCCAACATGGCAAAACCCTGTCTCTACTAAAAATACAAAAATGAGCCGGGTGTGGTGGCACACGCCTGTGATCCCAGCTACTCTGGAGGCTGAGGCAGGAGAATCACTTGAACCCGAGAGGTAGAGGTTGCAGTGACCTGAGATCACGCCACTGCATTCCAGCCTGGGCGATAGAGTGAGATTCCGTCTCAAAAACAATAAATAAACAAAAACCAGGAATCATGGATATAGGTGGCAGGCATTAGCTCTAGGGCTGAAGCAGAGAACTCAAGGAAGGTACCAACTTGGAAAAGGGTCTCCCCAGAGATGAGACTCAGACACCGTTGGAGATGGTGTGGCTAGAGTCTGCAGGATGGCAAAGAAGTTTGTTGTAGTGCTTCAGGCCAGGCTGGCATGCAAGAAACCCATGCACCGGTGGGGGCAGCGGAGTGGGGGCTGACAACACTCACTGAGAAGCTGCTGTCTGAGGCGCAGGCACTCACTAGGACTTCACCCGTGGTATGTTACTGAAACTCAGGGGAGCCAGCTGCTGGAGCGTTTATGACACACACTGGGCCACTATCTGGGGCTTCAGCAGTGTTTGGTGAAAACCTGCCTGTGGGGTTGCTGCTAAATTTGCTGGAGAGCTGACTGAGGTGCCAGCAGAACTCCTTAGGAAACTCACCAGGGGTGAGCATCTCTGGGTGCCCCACGCACCAGTCAAGAGCGGGAGCAAGAGGAAAGGAAGGGAGCCTCTTCTTCCTGCAGTGTCCCTTCAGAGCCCTCCATTGACAGCACTTAGTATCGTGCTAGCAGGCAAAGACATGTTTACAGGATTCAGCTCCAGTATCACAAAGGAGGATAACGAAGAGTGGATTTGGAATTCAGAGGCACTAAAGTGATAACTGTCACCACCCACCTCTTTGGCTACCGAGTTTCCATATGCACCCTCCTACACATATCTGAACTTCTATACAACAGTGAACAAAATATAGCTATCCTTCTTACCAGTAAAGATATTCCTACCCTTTCTCCCAAATGAGAAGATACTCAGTGCCAAAAACAATTGTATCTATCTCTGGCTATATTCATTACTCGAATTTGATCACAGTCCCTTTAAATATTCTGTTACCAAAAGACCAAATTGTAAAATTAACCTCCAACAACTTATATATAAACTAATGAAGAAGGAGAGAGAGAGAAAATGGATGGCATTTTCCCATCACCCATCTATCAGCGGTAAAGAACTCTGGAGAAGCGCTCTTGAGGAAATATCTTTGGGAAGAATCCCTGATTGGCCCTACTTGGGTCATGTGTGTTGGAATCTATGAAAGTCTGGAATTTTGCCCATCTTACAAGCTAGTAAGCCTGTTACAGTTTCATGGATGCTGGCAGATGACATGAGACTGGATCAGAGACAAAGGACTACGCTACTCATGGCAGAACAAGTTGCAAGAGGTTTGTGTTAGTTAGCATTGGTTTTCCATGTCCCCAAGTTCCACAGGGGTGATGTGGAGGGGCCCAGGTGGTTACTGTACACGCAGTGTGTTTGTACTGCAACTAAGGAACACTGAGCTTGGGAACATACAATTTAACAGTAAGTGATGAGCAAGCCTGCCTCTTTGTCTGGGGCAGGGGGATATTGCTTTGTCAAGGCTGTCTATTGCAAACACAACCCAGAGAAATGTCTCAAGCAAGAAACAGTCAGGACCTTGCATTCTTGTCATCCCCAGCAAGAGCATGCAGAGACAATCAGAGCCCGTGGCAAATTGCCTGTCACAAAAATCCACCACAAGGCCTGACGGATCCTTGGCCAAATTCACATTTTCTCATGAGTCTGCTACCTCGTCAGCTGCTCTGATTAGTCTGACCAACAGAGGGACCAAATCCGTTTAATTTGATTCCCATCACATTCAAAATTAAGGCTGCTATTGACAGGACTTCAAGTCATGCAGTGAGGCAAGTCTGCCATATTGATCTCACCCATGTCCCCATGGGTCCTGGGCTCAGCTGACTGTTTAGAAGTTCTGGGGGCAAGGGAGAGCAGTCATTCTTATTTCAGATAGCTAGGATAAAATCTAATATCAGTCTAGGATTCATTATGACCCACTCATGGGAGTTTAGATTCACTGATATCAATGCCAGTGACTACAGGAGGCAATGCAGGGAGCAAAGACCCTCATCCCTGATGGAAGGACATTCACAGCCCATTCTCCCTTACAAAGAGACGATCCGAAGGGGAGTAGGTCACTCTAGTTTAGGATTTGTTGTCAAATTTGATTTGAATCATCATCACATTGGTTTGGTTAGGTAAGATATACACACACACATATAATATTATATAGATTTTATATGTACACACAAAATAATAGATAGATGTCATATTGGTTCTGTTTTCTTGGAGAACCCTGACTAGCCCTAGTTGCCTTTCTTTTCTTTTTCCACTTTTCTTCTGAGCTCATGTTCCCCCTCCTGATATCTTACCATCCTTTCTCTGAGCTCACTTTATCCTTTTCCTTCTTAGAGGCAACCATTTCATTAAGTTTTTAAGTGCCTGGCAATTGCTTGGTTACGACTGGTGTCTGCTCCATGACAGCCTCTTCTTGGTGAGTATTCCACATCTGCCACTGGTTTTTCCTATCCGTTTCCTACATTTGCAGAGATCCTGTATGTCTTCCTTTTTGATGACTCATCTTTGAACAAGTGGAGTTTTTCCTGGACCAGCTCTTTGCTGGTATCATGTGGGAGGAGTTGGGGCTGTGTTCCAAGTCAGCTGGAATTTTCTTTATAACCCAGGATTTTAGATGTGAGCTTGATCAGCCTTTACTTCTCCGCTTAAGCAGGTCTGGGCATGTTTGGCAACCTGGCCTGCATGACGGAGATTTGCATAATTTGGTGTTCATCTATTTATTCAGGTTTTGCCTGAATGATGAAGGAGGAAGTTTACGTCTTGCCCCCTGGGGACAGGCAGAGGCAGTGTGTGCACTTCCATCTGACAAGGATCAGATCTGAACCGTCTGGAGAGAGGAGTTGTGGTGACAGCAGAAAGATCTCTGCTTCAGGAGCCAGGTGTCCAGGTGAGACGCCACAGCGCGACAGAGAG